TGGATGAAGAAAGTATGGAATATATACACATTAGAGTACTACGCTGCGGTAAAAAACAATGACTTCTCGAATTTTGCATGCAAATGGATGGAAATAGAAAACACTATCCTTAGTGAGGTATCCCAGACCCCAAAAGATGAACATGGGATGTACTCACTCATAATTGGTTTCTAGCCATAAACAAGGGTCACGGAGACTACAATTGGTGAACCTAAAGAAGCTAAATAAGAAGGTGAACCCAAGGAAAAACATATAGTTATCCTCTTTGCTATGGGAAGTAGACAAAATTGCCAGGGAGTAAATTGGGATCGTGGGGGTGGGGTGGGATGGGGGTAAGGGGAAATGGGGAGAGAAAAATGAGAAGGGAAGGAGGGGGGAACGTGGGGGAAACAGGAGGATTGGGATAAATGAAGGTTGGACGGGGAGCACGGAAGCACAATTCTTAGTTAAGGGAGCCACCTTAGGGTTGGCAAGAGACTTGACTCTAGAGTGGCTCCCAGGAGCCCATGGTGATGTCCCCAGTAGTCCCTGGGGCAGCTGAGGATAGGGAACCTGAAATGACCCTATCCTATAGCAATACTGATGAACATCTTGCATATCACCATAGAACCTTCATCTGGTGATGGATTGAGATAGAGACAGAGACCCACACTGTAGCACTGGACTGAGCTCCCAAGGTCCCAATGAGGAGCAGAAGGAGGGAGAACATGAGCAAGGAAGTCAGGACCACTAGGGGTGCACCCACCCACTGAGACAATGGGGCGGATCTATTGGGAGCTCACCAAGGCCAGCTGGACTGTGACTGAAAAAGCATGGGATAAAACCGGACTCTCTGAACATGGCGAACAATGAGGGCTGATGAGAAGCCAAGGACAATGGCACGGGGTTTTGACCCTACTTCATGTTCTGGCTTTGTGGGAGCCTAGCCAGTTTGGTTGTTCACCTTCCTAGACATGGACGGAGGGGGGCGGACCTTGGACTTTCCACAGGGCAGGGATCCCTGATTGCTCTTTGGACTAGAGAGGGAGGGGGAGAGGAGTTTGGGGGAGGGGGAGAAGGGTGGGAGGAGGGGGAGGGAAATGGGAGGCTGGGAGGAGGCAGGTACTTTTTTTTTCCTTTTCTCAATAAAAAAAAAAAGAAAAAGCAAAAAAAAAATGAACCTAAAAAAAATGATTGGCTGGGAGGAGGAGTGACAGGTCTTGTGTGGTATTAGTAAGGAGGTACACAGGTCTGGTTTTCTTTCTGAGTCTTTTGAATACTTGAAAATCAGCATTCAACATGGAAATGAACCGTGGTTCTTTGAGGAACTGGGTGGTTTTGGAGCAGTCGGATGCAGAAAATTTCTGGGTTAGGCCTGATTACTGGTTTTCAAGACACTGGAAGCATAGGCTTTGGTTAGCTATTTTGAACCTGTCACTTGTATAGAATAGGCCCCACTGTGTGTGCTGTGTGGTGCTCAATTGCTCTAAACAATTGCTTTTCCCTGACATGGACTCGGTGAAACAATTCCCAGGGCAGAGCCATGAATTCTGACTTTGTGAGTCCTACTGAACCAATGATGAATGTCTCACTGTGGATCATCCAACAAAATCCACTGACATCATTTCTAAAGGTGTTAACATAAACAAGTTGATATTGTAACCACGGGAACAAATTTTCTCAAACTGGCATCTTCCCAGGGGCATAATTTCCACAAAAATGAGTGAGTGATGTCATGAAACTAGCATAACTGTCCTTGTATCTTTTTATAAACCAAATTTCATCACATGTTTTTTGGAAATCAGATGCAGAGCCTCAGGGAAGAGAGTGCCAAAGTTTTCTCAATGGATAAGAAAACAACTGCACTCACACGAAAAGAAAGGATTCGTGAATGCATAAGTAGCTTCTCATATGGCCACAGAAATAAAAGCAGGTGATGATAACCAGGTGCCGACTGGATGTGCTGATCTGCATGGAAGTTCATAATTCAACTGCCCAGGCTTAGAGCAGAAAAACATGCTTACTTTGGTTTTGTTCTTCTTGCTCCAGAACATTTTACCTCAGGAGCCCAGTTTCATTCATCCCAGGTGCTTCTGGAGAATGAAGCAGAATGAAGAGAACGATGGAGTCTCATTAACATATCATGCCTTCCTTACTAGTCCAACAAATAGAACAGATGCTGTGGAGTATTTGGAAGGCATTTTGCATGAAGAGTAAGTGCCTTTGTATTTTCTATGTAAATGTCATCATGGATATTCCATGAGGTGTCTAGTGGATGAACATCTGAACAATGCCTTGAATCTTCTGCCCCCTTCTCCCAACCTGCACAAAAATAAATAACACCACATTTTTTTTAGAGACTATACATTATTTTTCTACTTTCAATTTTTCCAGAGAATGTTCTATTTTTCTCCCAGACACCCTCCAAATTACCAGACTGGGTGCTGTGTGAAAAAGGACTCTATACCTTTTCCGTTATATATAGCCTGCCTCTACGCAGTTTCCACAGCACAGTAGCAGGTGATGCCTCATCAAAAGAAAGCCCATTCTGTTTCAATGAATGTCATCCTAAGTGGGTAGAGGTAATGGCCACATACTCACCCGATGGACATTCCATCAATGTGTGGGTCCTATGTTCATTGCTAGGACAACTAACATTTGTGGTACTGCAAGCTGTGGAGAGTTTGCGCATAGAGTTTCAGTTACTCTCTCAGATATTCTGCATGTGGTCACACTAAAACTTTTAAAGGTGCATTAAGATTGGAAGTAGGAGACCTGTCCACTCTGAACTTCCTATGAGTTCCTTTTCTCGATAGTTCACATATATACCTGCACAACCACTGGGCTTCAATTTCAAAGTCCATTTCTTCACTCAAACATTAGCGTAAAGAAGGAATGTATAGAATGTAAATGCTAGGTTTGCATTCTTTGAAAAGCGAAGCTGTCACTAATAGTGGTGACTGCTCACTTCTGCTGTCACTTGCTTTAGTGATAGCTGTGGCATTTGATAGTTGTCACTACCATACAACAGGGATAGAGGAGGTACCTACCAGCTTCACCTCTGCCATTATATAAGAGGCATGTGTCTTTTCCTTCCATGTCTAAGTTGTTTATTCTCTACCCTCAAATCACACTGACCTCTCTTGTTTTTTGTAAGTCCTTTTATTAATTAATTTATGCCCATTTTACCAACTTTTGAAATATACATATTTCGATTTTTTTTTTTCGAGATTGGGTTTCTCTGTGGTTTTGGAGCCTGCCCTGGAACTAGCTCTTGTAGACCAGGCTGGTCTCGAACTCACAGAGATCCACCTGCCTCTGCCTCCCGAGTGCTGGGATTAAAGGCGTGCGCCACCACCGCCCGGCTACATATTTTGATTTTATCAATTGTTAACAGCTGTTTTCAATCACAGAACTTCAATCCACTAGACCACTTTAGTGGCTCAAATCATAGATGTTTCTTAATACTTAGTTTACAGGACTTAGTGTTTGAGTTTCACAAGTTCTAATCTCAGATTCCTGTTGCAAGTTCCTGAAATTTTCAATATTATATTTTCTGTGTGGTAATAAATAATATTCTAAATTTTTCATTTAAAAAATATATAGATAAATACCTATTTTCATACATAAAAACAACACGGTGGTACAATTTCTAAGTGGTGAAGTGATTGTATTTAACTCAGATTGAATTATTCAAAATGAAAATGCATGTTTGATATTTAATGGACAGACGATAAGCAGTGAGTTAGGAGAAAAGAGAAATTATTATTCTTCTCATACATAGAAACACAAATTGATATCATTCTCTTCCAACTGACTACTTCCCCATTTTTATTACATGAAACTCCATGAATATTTTCCATTCAGTTTACAACTAAGGTCTTCTGTTTTGCAAACATGTAATACTGGCATATACAAATCCCAGTAGGATGCCAATGTTAGTGTAACTGGAAAGGTATCTGGGAAGATATTTTCCAGAGGAAAATTTATGTGGGTCAGATACACCCAGACTGAATATATGGCATAGTGGTGTAAACATAAAATAGGCAAACAATATTGGGAAAGAAGTAACTGCCCTTAATTTCTTCACTCAGAACCTGGGGCAGGTATAGAACCATGCCTTTGAGACGAGTCTAGTCTACAACAAAGGATCATTCAAAACCATGAATCCATTTATTATTTATGGCCTAAATGTGCATTAATACTGTCCATATACACAGATGCATACAGACATACATCTTTACAAAATACATCTCTGGTATTTGAATACATTTAAAAATATATTTTAAAAAAGATTTTATCCCTGAAAAAGGGAAACAATAAACAAAAAGAAAAAGATGAAGATGAATAGAATGGGATATGTTAAGTATATTGTCCACTGATTATTAATAATTGTAAGTAGAAGAGCCAAATTTATCCCTACTATTTTACACTCATCAGACATTTTGACTGCCTTAGCCAATTCAGTTAATTTCACAGAAAATACAGTAAATTCAATGGTTCACACATCATGTGCATCTTTATTGTTCAATAATTTAAGAATGAAATCATGACCATGTTTACTCTTTGGTCAAAGCCTGTGGCCTTTTCTTTACTGAAAAACCAGAGATGGACCAGGTTCTCGGTGAAAGATGACGATGGCACATCTTCTTTATTGGAGATCCACGCTCATGATTTTTTTTTTTTTTTGGTTTTTCGAGACAGGGTTTCTCTGTGGCTTGGAGCCTGTCCTGGAACTAGCTCTGTAGACCAGGCTGGTCTCGAACTCACAGAGATCCGCCTGCCTCTGCCTCCCGAGTGCTGGGATTAAAGGCGTGCGCCACCACCGCCCAGCTCTCATGAAATTTTAAAGTTTTTTCAAGCTTCTAGCGTCTTATGTCATCTGAACATCACAACACAGAAGATTCATTTTAAACATTAGGGGTGGTTGGGAATACCATTCACTAACAGATAGTCCTTGTATTCATTGCACATGATTTTCTGTAGGTCTTTGTCCTATTAAACACTGTATCATTTTACAGAACACCAAAGAAAAACTTTCAGTTTGTATTGGCCTTCATGTTTTCCTTGGATGAAGTCATCAGGGACCCTGATCTTTTACCAAATATGTCTTTCCAATTTGAAACTATGCCAAGTTCGTGTAAGATTGTGCCACAATTACACAGATGCCTTGAACATTCTATCAACTCTCATGATATTACTCCTAATTATAACTGTATAAATTTGAAGACATGTGTAGTTATGATTTCAGGACCAAGCTGGGTAGTATCTTCTCTAGTTGCAAAAGCCATGGACAGCAACATTCCTCCGCAGGTGAGATTTTGTGTGGTTGTGGGTTTGCAAGAAACCCTGTCTCCATTGGTTCCATTCTAAGGTGCTAAGAAAAGTATGAGGAGGAGACCAGCCTACACTTATTTCAAAGTGTGTAGTACATGGTTACTATTCAGAGACTTTAGGGGACTTCTGTATTTACATTTTAAAGTTTAGATGAGGGAAGATGTAACAGAAGGAGGGTGTTTTAGAACTCTTTGCAGAAAAGTGTGTTTAACAAGTCCTTAGCAGTGCATGCTACATTATGCTGCTCCATTTCCTAGATCCTTCAGCTTACCTTTGGACCCTTCCATCCTATCCTGAGTGATCGTGAACAATTTCCTTTTCTGTATCAAATGGCCCTTGAGGACACATCTCTACCTCTGGCCATGGTCTCCCTCATACTTCACTTCAGTTGGAACTGGGTTGGATTGACCATCTCAGACCATGATCAGGGTATCCATTTTTTCTCATATTTGAGAACAGAGATGGAAAAAAGTATGCTCTGCTTTGCCTTTGTGAACATGATTCTGATCAACATGCATATGTACATGTCAAGAGCTGAAGTGTATTATAACCAAATCTTGACGTCATCCTCAAATGTTGTTATCATTTATGGTGAAACAGATAGTACTCTATCTTTCAGCTTTAGAATGTGGACATCTCGAGGTATACAGAGAATCTGGGTCACCACCTCGCAGTTTGATGTCACTACAAGTAAGAGTGACTTCTTGCCTGAATTGTTCCATGGGACTCTAGCATTTGCATACCACCATGCTGAGATTTCTGGTTTTAAAAATTTTATCCAGACAGTGAACCCTCTCAAATACTCAGATGAATACCTGGCAGGGCTGGAGTGGATGAACTTTAACTGTGGGATCTCGGCTTCTATGTGCAAGACACTGAGGAACTGCTCATCCAACAGCTCACTGGAATGGCTGATTGCACAGACATTCGACATGGCTTTTAGTGATGACAGCTATGACATATACAATGCTGTGTATACTATGGCCCATGTCTACCATGAGATGCTACTTCAGCCAATGGGCAATCAGGAAGTACACTTGCCTAACTGCCTGAAGGTGATATTTCTATTTGATAGTATTCATTGTTTTCTATATCAGTCTTTATTACATTCTCAGCTGTCCCATTCTAGTGGGTTAGGATATATTTCCCCATTTGGAAAGATTTTTGAACATTTTTTTCCTCTTGAGGAAGTAAATTTAGAGGTTTGGGAAAATCTCAGATGCAAACGTTGTGGGGTGGGAGACACAATTTCTCAATGAAAACCCATGATTCTGTTATAGAGCACCTGACTATCTTCACCCCTGTTGTAATACTGGAAACATAGGAGTTTTCTTCATTAATTCTCTCCATGATAAAAAGATGAGCTTTTGTTCCTTAATTGTCAAATATGTGGTGATCAGTGTAAGGGATTATTTGCACAGGTGTTCTAAACTGATTCTGCCCCAACTCTGGCCTCTGGAAAACTCACGTGTGTGTGAGTAGATGGTTCTTATAGTGTATGGGTGGATATTTGTGTGTTTCTCTGTGCATCTGGGTATATCTGTTTGGATGTTAAATATTTGTTTCTAGCTATCTGCATATCTACCTGTCTGTATAAGTAAGAATAAATTGGTCTTGTGTCAATGTCTTTCTCTATGGGTGTATTTCTGTGTGTCTCTCCCTATGGGTATTTTTCAGTGCACGTGTCTACAAGTGTCCATGTGTTTTTTTTTGTCTGTTTTTGTGGTTGTGCTTGTACTTATGCATATTTGTGTTACTGGGTATGAGCGCCTTTTGGTGAATGTGTTGTAGATAAGTATGTCTGTGTTTCTGTTCCTCTGTATGTGTTTCTGTCTGTCTTTGCATTTGAGGATAAATTTGTCTCTGACAGTGTCTCCCTGCATGGCTCTTTATATCTCTGTATGTCTCCTTGTGCATATTCATCCATGAGTTTGTGAACATGTGTGTGGGCCTGTGTATGTTTTTTTTTGTTTCTCTTTCTCTGTGTGTGAGTACATAAGTCTGTCTCTGTGTGTCTGTATATTCATATCCTTTCTTGGGTTCAGGTGTATGTATGTGTAAACAGTGTGTGCCTGTATTATGTATGTGTTTATATAAGAATATGAGTCTGTGTATGTATGTTCATATGAATATTTAATACTTACCATTGGTGTCTTCATGTTTGTCTGTGCTTATGTTTGCTAGTTCCCCTGAAAAAAATAAAATTTTAGGACCATTATTATATTTCCATTTATCTACTTGCTTTCATTGACACATTCAATGAAGCCAAGTTGTTGACATTCAGCATGCTGGTGTTCTGCAGTGTCTGGGTCAACTTTCTTCCTGCATCCCATAGCACCAAGGGCAAGGTCATGGTGGCTGTGGAGGTCTTCTCCATCTTGGCCTCTGGTGCAGGCTTACTGGGGTGTATCTTTATCCCTAAGTGCTACATAATTTTGTTAAGACCAGAGAGAAATTCTCTTAAAAAGTTAAAGGAGAAAACATCTTTGTGAACTAACATTTCCTAAATTAAAAGTGAAAGCTGTAGTTTTGGGGAAAAAAACTATTATGATACAATGGAAGATGTATGTATTAGCTAGTGACTTTTACTGTTTCTTCTAATGAAGATGCCTAGAATTGACATACATACTACTTATCTGAACATAATCTCTTGGAATTTTCCATTAAACCACTTAATTAATAAGACCTAGCTATTGAATATTACTGTGTCATGGAAGACTTTTTTTGCTCTAATATACATTCAGATTTAAAATAAACTACAAGTCCTTGTATTGATGTCTGAGTGAATGTGTGTATTTTACAGCCAGTGAGTATTGAGACTAAAGACTCACATCCTCCATCCCTATACTTTTCCCCAAATTCACTATATCTCTATTACCCTTCAAAAAAGTACAGGACTCCAAGAAACAACCACTCTTCAGGGATAAAATATACAGTGAGACAAGGCAAAAAACCCATTTTGTTAAGTGTTTCTGAGAAATTTGAGTCTTTCTTTTGAGAATATTCAGTTAGTTCGGGATCCATTTAAAATTACAATCTTTGGTTTTTGATATATATATATTCTCTTGAGTATTCAATATATTTTGGATATTAGTCCCTCTGTCAGATGTTGAGTTGCTAAAAATATTTTCCCGTTATTTAGCTTGCCTTGGAGGAGCTTTTCAGTTTGATGAAGCCCTATTGATGAGTTGCTGGACCTATTATGTACGCTATTGCTGTTTTCTTTCCAGAAATTCTACCAGTCCAATGATTTTGAGGCTCTTTCCCACTTTCTCTTCTACCATGCTCAGTGTTTCTCTTTTTATATTGAAAAGTTTGATAAATTTGGACTTGAGTTTTGTACAGGAGGATCAGTATGGATATATTTATTTTCTTCTATATGCAGACATCCAGTTGAACCATCACTTTTTGTTGAAGATTCCATATTTTTTTCAAGTATGCTTTTCTGACTTGTCAAAACTAGGTGCCCATAGCTGTATAAATTTATATCTAGGATTTCAAGTGAATTCCATTTGATTGATTTGTCTCTGTTTATACCAATAACATTTTTTAATAGTGAAGGATTTTAGTACAACTTGAAATCAGGAATGCTGATACTTCCAGAAGTTCTTTTATCATTCATTATTATTTCAGCTATTCTGTTATTTGTTGTTTATCAATATGAAGCTGAATAATTTTCTTTGGATACCTGTGAAAATTGAGTTAGAATTATGCATTCTGATGGTAATCTTAGCTCTGTTTTTCCTGTTTGAGTTCCTAAAGTTTTAACTTACTGATATTTTTCACTTTGGGTCCTTTTACTAATTATTGACTTCATTTACATTTATTGGTCTTGGAATGTTTCTTTAATTTCCTTCCAACTTGTTTGTGTTTTACTGAATTAGATTTGTAGACAAATGGATGGGAACTAGAAAAAAAATCATTCTGAGTGAGGTAACCCAGACACAGAAAGACAAACATGGTATATGCTCACTCATAGGTGGTTATTAGGAGTAAAGTATAGGATAACTAACCTTCAATCCACAGCGCCAAAGAGTCTAGGTAACAAGGTAGACCCAAGAGGATTCCATTAATTTCACTGGGAATGGAAAATAGAAATTTTCTCCTGGGTAACTCGGGGGTTGGGAATTATCAGATGGAAGGATGGGAAGTGGAGGGAGTTGTTTGATTGGACCGAGTGTATGAGGTAAGTTAGAGGCAGCCTGGAGGATGAGAGTAAAAAAAGAGATGTCTTCATAGAAGGAATCATTACAGAGTTTGGGAGAACCCCGGTGCGAGTATGATCTTCAAGAATCCACAAAATGACCCCAAATAAGACTCCTAGCAATACTAGAGAGTGTGCATGAACTGGCTATCTACTGTAATTATACTGGAGACTACCCTAATTGCTCTCAGAGACACTCTATCCAGTAACTGATGGAAGCAGATGCAGAGGTCCACAGACAAACACTGCATTGATCTTGAGAGTCCTACAGAAGAAAGGGAGAAGAGATGGATTGGCTGAACCAGGTTAGTCATGATGGGGGAACCCACAGAGATAGCCAACCTGAGTTCACTGAGCCTAATGGATGCCATACCAAGAGTTACAGAGTTTGCATGTGTCCGAACTTGGCCTCTGCATGCATGTGTGTGACAGTTGTGTAGCTTGGTCTGTTATTAAATTTCTAAAAGTGAGAGCAGGACCTATTCTTGATGCTTAGCTGACTTTTGATAATATGTTCTACATGCTGAATTACCTTGTCCTGCCTGGACTTATGGAGAAGAGTTTAGTCATGCCTAAACTTGTTTAGTGCAAGTCCATGAGAGGCCTGACTCCTTCTGAATGGAGATGGAGGAGAAACAGGTGGGGAGTGGGGTAGATAGGCAGAAGGAGGAGACCAGAAGAGAGGAGGGGAAAAATAAATGTAAAATAAATGAAAGAATATTATCTAAATAAAATTGAAAAAAATCAATTTCTGACATAAGCTAAAATAAACCCCATCATATTCATACAGGCTATATTAAGGTCTTGTTATTGGGCTTCTGCTATGTTGGAATATTTAAAGGCTGCAGTGGTAGTGTTACAGGGCACTAGTGGAGACATATGGTCCTGGCTGGTTGTCACTGTGTTCTATGGTGATGTCTAGATATCTAGGATTAGGAAGATTGCACTTTTAGGTTCTGATATCTGTTTTTTTTTCTTTGATTAGTGGCTGTTTTGTTTCTTGCTTTCTGTTTCTTCTCTGACTTTTAGGAGAGTGTGATGGGTGTGTGGTACCTGGTAGGAAATTTTCTGTTGACCTGATTGGTGTGAATAGTGAGGGTTCCAGTTAAATTTTGTTTCTGGGCAGTAGACATGGCACTTAGGAATGGGGATGGATAGGCTAGGAGTCTGAAGTGTTTCCAAGGAAAGGAAGAAGAGTGTTCAAACAGGATATGTTCATTTAGTCTTCTTGAAATGAGGATACAAGGTAAAGAGAAGACATCAGAGGAGGTCTGGTATAAGACAGCGGATAAAACTGAGTATTTTCATAAGGAGGTATAGTGCTGAGTTAATGATCTACACATAGTCTACCTTCTTTCCTGGCAGCAGCAGCATTTTCGGTAGCAAGGCATGTCTTCTGGGCTTTTGAGACTGTGATAAAGCTAAGTAGAGTGGCTAGGAGGGAAAGATTCCTGGGGACCCTTGGGAGGTGGCACAAGGGCTAGAGAAGGCTGAAGAAGATGTTCCCTTTTGGAGACCCTTCCCCAACTTCATTGGTTATGGATGACCCTGGGTAGTGCCGCAGAAATCAGGACACAGGGGATGCAGAGTAGGAGATACAACTGCATACTTTATTGCAAAGCCAGTGCTCTTTTTATAATACTCAAATCACGATTCAAGCTAGGTTTCCATAATACATGAAAATAGTTTCATAGACTAGAAACTTGGTTGCAAATAATTTCAAGAGCTCCATGCCCTAGCTCGGTGTTATGGGAAAAACTCTTGTTATAATATACTATGTAAAAACACCTCATCAGAAGACAAACCACAACCTAATCAGAGCCTTTGAACTACAGTGCACATCTGTGTTCTCAAGGACTGACCATTGGCAAGGCACTCTACTGATGGGAGAGGTTTGCCTCCTCCCAACTTGGTTTGCCAAGCCTATCAGCAAGAATGCTGCCTCAAGTCTCCCTTGCACAGAGTTTTTATGCAGTTCAAAAGAGACCCTGTACAGTTCCCGAGCGAAGCTCAATGTGAGCCTAAGGTTATGTGTCTGTGGGAAAAGGGGAAGGTGCAGATCTTCACTCACCTACCTGGGTTCCTAGTGAGAATGGCCTGTGGTTTCGCCTTTTAGCTTCTTTTGAGAACATGTATTTTCAGTGGGAAATTGCACCGATGAATGTGGGCATTGGATTCTCCCATTTAGAACATATGGACTACATAGAGTTTGAGACAAATAAAGGAAAATTCTTCTGTGTGGAGGGTAATAGATATTCTTTAGTAACTGAAATGAGGAATTCAGTTTTGTTGCTCTTCTCTAGATCCTGTTGAAAACTAGCAATCAACATGTATCATGTCCATAATCACTGACTCTGTGATGAACTGACGTTGTTGGGATGAGTTCTGGATATATAGGTAGGGACAAGACAGGACATGCTTTTTATGGGAGCATATTAAAACTTATGTTTAGATGTTACCTTAAATATTTCCAATGTTCTAGGCTGTGCCTGGAACTGTGTATTGATGTCTTTCTCACAATCATCAACTGTTTTATATTTGTCTTTTCACCTCATACATTGTCTGAAAAAAAGTTGAATAAAATAGTCAACTGACAGAATAAAAACACATCTAGGTTTCTTGAGACTTCACACTCTGGAGTTTTGTTGATAGTTATTAATCCTTTCAAATAACTATTGAAATGCCCAGACATGCCTTACACTATATTTATTTATACTTATATGACAGCGTTGCTAGCATATACATGTGTGCACCATATGCAATCTTTGTGCCTTTACAGTTGTAATCTCCTAAAACTTGAGTTTTGCTAAGTTGTGAGCCATGATATAAGTGCTTGAAATCATACCTAGGTCTTCTATGAGACCAATCCCTCTTCTTAACACTAAGCTATCTCAACTGTGTCTATATAGTACACTTAGTGTTGTAGGGTCTTATGTCATATGCATGAACAGAGCCTCAGTCATCTCTTCTCACACCTCATGTCCCCCTGTAGATTGTGGAAATTCCCATACCTTAATATCACAATGAAACTCAGAATCACAGTTCAGAATCTTTCGAACATTTTGGGTATATATCCAAAGGATACTCAATCGTGCCACAAGGAAATGTGCTCAACTATGTTCATAGCAGCATTGTTTGTCATAGCCAGAATGTGGAAATAACCTAAATATCCCTCGACTAATAAATGCATAAGGAAAATATGCTATATTTACACAATGGAGTACTAGAGAGCAGAAAAAAATAATTATATCTTGAAATTTGCACTCAAATGGGTGGAGTTAGAAAACATCATATTGAGTGAGGTAATCCAGACCCAGAAAGACAGTTATCACATGTACTTACTCATAAGTGGTTTTTTATTATTAAATATTTCTGCCTCCTCCCCACCACCACTTCCCATTTCCCTCCCCTTTTCCCGATCAAGTCCCCCTCCCTCGTCAGCCCAAAGAGCAATCAGGGTTCCCTGCCCTGTGGGAAGTTGAAGGACAACCCACCTCCATCCAGGTCTACTAAGGTGAGCATCCAAACTGCCTAGGTTCCCCCAAAGCCAGTACGTACAGTAGGATCAAAAACCCATTGCCATTGTTCTTGAGTTCTCAGTAGTCCTCGTTGTCTGCTAAAAATAAAGCGAGTCCGGTTTTAGCCTATGTTTTTTCAGACCCGGGCCAGCTGGCCTTGGTGAGTTCCTGATAGAACATCACCATTTATCTCAGTGTGTGGGTGCACCCCTCGCCGTCCTGAGTTCCTTGCTCGTGCTCTCTCTCCATCTGCTCCTGATTTGGACCTTGAGATTTCAGTCCGTCATAAGTGGTTTTTAAAAATAAAGAAAACCAGCCTACAAATCACAATCCCAGAGAACATGGACAACAATGAGAACCCTAAGAGAGACATACATGGATCTAACCTACATGGGAAGTAGAAAAAGACAAGATCTCCTGAGTAAATTGGGAGCATGGGGAACATGGGACATGGTTAAATGG